CACACACACAAAAACACACACAAAGGGAGTATTACTCAGCACTCAAAAAGAATGAAATCCTGCCATTTGTAACTACTTGAATGGAACTTGAGAGTATTATACTAAGTGAAATTAGTCAGAGAAAGACAAAGATCATATGACTTCATTCATATGGGAACTTTAAGATACAAAACAGATGAACATAAGGGAAGCAAAAACAATATAAAAACAGGGAGGGGAACATAAACTCTTAAATATGGAGAACAGAGGGTTACTGGAGGGGTTGTGGGAGCGGTGATGAGCTAAATGAGTAAGGGGCATTAAAGAATCTACTCCTGAAATCATTGTTGTACTATATGCTAACTAACTTGGATATAAATTAAAAAGTAAATTAAATTAAAAAAAATAAACTATGTTAACAATTCAGAATGATGATTCAGAAGTGACAATTTAGTAAGAATAATAAATACAACATCTAAAACTTGTATCCAGAAAAACAACTGCACAGGAACAAATGAGGGAAGATACGGTTTACCAATAATAAATCTAACAATAACAAAGAAAAACTTAAAAGTTTTAGTAACTGTAAGTTCAACACTAGCAGTGTTAGAAAAGCTAATGTAGTCCTTGGGCTCTGTGATTATAATGTCCAGAATTTTTAAATGTTTATTTTTTTTTGATAGAGAGCATGAGTGGAGGAGGGGCAGAGAGCGAGGAGGGGAGAGAGGATCTGAACTGGGCTCTGTGCTGACAGCAGCAAGCCAGATATAAGGCTTGAACTCACGAACCATGAGATTATGACCTGAGCCAAAGTTGGACAGTCAACCAACTGAGGCACCTAGGAGCCCCTAATGTCCAGAATTTCTACTTCAAGATGTAGAGCATAGGCATTTACTTCTCCTTTTTCCCAAAGGCCCATTGAAAGTGACTTAAAAAAAAAATTTTTTTTTTAATGAGGAAAATTATAGCATCACTGGAAAACATGAAAAGGGTATCGGTGGACAAGAAATTTTAATGACTACCTTGAAATTAGCAAATACAGGATCAGGCAGGTGGAATAAGAACAACAACAAAAACCCCACAGCCTTGCTGAGTGTCCCAGAGAGGGTCCAAATTCCGAGCCAATAAACACTGTTACCCTGTACCTAGCACTTTTATTGTATTATTTCATTTAATGCTCATAATTATCTTGAAAATAGGTATTATATGCCCATTTTTCAGATAAGAGAGCTGACATTTAGACAAGTTATATAATCACACAGCTAATCAATGGTGAAGCCACGACTTGAATCCAGTTAGTGTGAATCTGGAGTCTGCTTTCATTTATTATGCAGATACAGGCCAAAGGGTAATCCATTACAGTAATCATTAAAGCACTACACTAAATCCCGCTGGTACTGGGGTGCCTGGCTGGCTCAGTTGGAAGACCAGGCAACTCTTCAGCTCAGAGTTGTGAGTTCAAGACTCACGTTAGGTGTAGAGATCACTAACAAAAAAAAATAAATAAAACTTTAAATTCATCTGGCTCTATTTCCATCAGGTAAGAAGGGTAGCTCTCTTCTTTTGTTCTTGAATTAAACCTTGATAACTTCCTTCTACAAAATGAGTGGAATCTGTCTAGAGTGCCTAAAAGCGGCTGAGAGAGGAGTAAAGAAAGACACAAGAGTTAACGTCAGATCCCCACACAGATTTGGAAGAAGGAAAAATGTTTTAAGGAAAGGAAGATCCACAGTAAATAAATATCACAAGAAATGCTTCCTTACTTTGGCAGCTGTGGGGTTCCAGGCTCCCTGCTCCAAGATTACATTTCCCAGAGTGAACTGTGCCAGTAGGCATGCTCTGCTCACAGAGTTCACAGTCAACCATCCTATTCAAGGAAGGTATCTGTCTTATAAATTGGTGAGGCAATCTCGCATGGTGGTTCAGAACATGAATTCTAAAGTTAGCCTGCCTGGCTCCAAATCTTGGCTTTCCCGTGCAACTCTAGGGAAGTTACTCAGTATCTCCTTCCCTCTCTTTCCCCATCTGAAAAATGAGGATGATAACTATATTTATCTTATGAAAGTTTTTGTGACGATTAAGTAAGATAACTTTCACTCAGTGTAGTGCTTCTCTTATGTAAGTGCTCAGCAAAGGGCTTGGCACATGGTAACCTGCAAGCAATGGTGTGTGTTAGTTATAAAGTACAGGGGACAAAGGGGAAAGGAGATAAATTAGATGACGACTGAGAAATCTTCCAACCTTGAAAATCTATCAAATTCTTAAGAGAAAAAAATTTTAATTTCATCAAATAAGACAAAGCAAATTCCAGAACAGTGAAGTATTGACTGACGCTAGATCAATACTTGGTTTAAATTCACTACTGAACCTCTGAAGGCATCTATTAACCTCTTTATTTATGACTACTAGCTGTAAGTTGCCTCCCAATATAAATTAAATGGGCAAAATGAATTTGGATTTAGAAAATGAGGAGAGCTAACTGACTTCTAAGCAATTTTGATTAATATCAATGAACAGATATAACAGAGCTACTCCCCTACCAGAATCTTGACCATAGATTGAGCTCTTTCATCCAGAAGTTCAAAAACAGAAATTAGCAATAATAGAACAATATCTAAAAAACTGCCAAGAAGGAAGATAATAATACAGCATCATGTCAACTGGAATCTCCAGTGCAATAACAGGCCAAAGCACTGCATGGCTGCAGGGAAAAGCCAGTCAGCTTAGAAGCCTGTGACAGCCCAGGATGGGAACTTCTTATTCCAAATGTAAGCTAATCAAATTTTATGATTTAGGGGCGCCTGGGTGGCTCAGTCGGTTAAGCGTCCGACTTCAGCTCAGGTCATGATCTCGCGGTCGGTGAGTTCAAGCCCCGCATCCGGCTCTGTGCTGACCGCTCAGAGCCTGGAGCCTGTTTCGGATTCTGTGTCTCCCTCTCTCTCTGACCCTCCCCCGTTCATGCTCTGTCTCTCTCTGTCTCAAAAATAAATAAATGTTAAAAAAATTAAAAAAAAAATTTATGATTTAATTATGGGTCTCCTCTAGAAATCCTACCCATTTAGGGTTCCAAATTAATAACAATTTACTCAGAAACAACTTAAAGTTAGGTCCCAGAAATTAAGCGATTTGCCTAGGGAACTTCTTATCTGGAAGTAATGTGTATCCAAAGCAGACCTTCTGGGCCAGTGCTAAGAAATCTTTATAACCTGATAAACTAGGAAATCAGAGATGGACTTTGCCAACCACCATGGTCAGTAGAAAAAGAAACTTTAGGCATGCCAAATCTGAGATGCACATTAAATTGTAACAAGTGCAAGAACTATACACCTACATGATCCTTACCATGAGCCAGGAAAATGCAGGTAGATAATTAGAACAGTGAGGATAAAGCCTCCATTCCCAGAATAAGACATTAAGCCTTGGGGCCCTTTTCTTTTCCTCTCCTCTCCTTGTATTTATAATTTTTTCCTACTCCTTTTTCTCTATGGTCATCCTTGCCACATAACCACCCTCCGATCTTTTCCAGTTGTTCCACTCCCGCTGTTACACTTGAATTCTTTTAAAATTCCTTCTCTCTGTTCTTTCTACAATGTCATTTTAGTAAGTTACAAAAGGAACTGTATAGAAAGAAACAAATATAAAAAGAAGGCTTTGGCAAATTCTATTTGTTGACATGAATACTGTCTACTTTTTCCTGGCCTGTAACTTCCACATGTCAAAACATTATGCCCATGATAAGAGCAGAGCAACTGTTAAAAAATACTCAAGTCTAATGAATAATTTTAGTGACGATATAGAATAAAAGAGCAAAGAACAAAATTAATACAAAGAGGCCTCATATAACATTATGACATATACAGAGCAATTCTTTTTAAGTTTTTTTGTTTTTTTTTAGTAATCTCTACACCTAACAAGGGGCTCGAACTCATGACCTCAAGATCAAGAGTCATACACTCCTCCAACTGAGCCAGCCAGGTACCCCTAAACAGTAATTCTTAATTCTAATACAAATAAAATCTTTTACGTAAATTCAAAATACATAGATACCTAAGTATTTCTTTTTTTTTTTTTTTTAATTTTTTTTTTTTTTCAACGTTTATTTATTTTTGGGACAGAGACAGAACAGCATATGAGCGGGGGAGGGGCAGAGAGAGAAGAGGAGACACAAGTCGGAAACAGGCTCCAGGCTCTGAGGCCATCAGCCAGATCAGCGGGGCCAGACTCCTGGGACAGCGGACGTGAGCCTAGCTGAAGTGGACGCCTAACCATTCTCATCACCAAGGCGTGATATAAGTATTTCAAGTACTTTTGAATATATTATGTTCAGAAAAAAATGTGGAAAAACTTAACACTTCTTAACTATTTTTTTATTAAAAAAATTTTTTTTTGTGTTTACTTATTTTTGAGAGAGAGAAAAAAAAAGAAGAGCTGACAGGCATAAGTGGGGAGGGAGAGGGGCAGAGAGGAGACACTTACAGGGTGGAAGCAGGCCACAGCCTCCTGAACTGTCAGCCTGGAAAACCCTGACCCCTGGGGGCTCAAACTCATGAACTGCGCAGATCATATTCTGAAGTTGGGCCAGCTTAACCAACTGAGCCACCCAGGCACCCCCCTGCCTCTTAACTATTTTTATTCATATGAATAATTCTCCTCAAATTAAAAAAAAACATATATATATTTTTTGCCAAAAAGATACAATATAATCTTGTCTTACTTCATTCTTTGGAGCATTTACAGAATTTGAAGAAATTTTAATTATTCTTTCCTTTGAAGATTTCACTCAAAAAGTCTTTCCAGTTTATTTCTCTTTAAAATAGGAAACACAGGGAAGCCTGGGTGGCTCAGTCAGTTGGCTAGTCAACTTTGGCTCAGGTCATGATCTCAAAGTTCAAAGCTCACATCAGGCTGATAGCTCAGAGCCTGGGCAGGAGACACAGAATCTCTCTCAAAAATAAACTCTCTCTCTCTCTCAAAAATACACATTAAAAATAAATTTTAAAAAATAGTAAATAAAATAAAATAGGAAACAAGAGGGTAATTGCATATATTAATGCATGCCCCAACTGCTGATATCAAAATCACAAAACTTTAATTAAAATGGGGTCCAAGATGGGGCATGTGGGTGGCTCAGTCAGTTAAGCGTCTGACTTCAGCTCAGGTCATGATTTCACGGTTCTTGAGTTTGAGTCTGCATCCAGGCTCTATGCTGACAGCTCAGAGTCTGCAGCCTGCTTCATTCGGTTACGTGTCTCCCTCTCTCTCTGTCCCTCTCTCTCTCTGTCCCTCTCTCTCCAAAATAAACACTAAAAAGATTTTTAAATGAGTCCAATAAATAGAATTGCCAAATAATTTTGAATGCTTATGCCACTTGAGCTACATGCACACTGACCATGTCTCCATTTTATATTTCTGTTTATTTTCTTCCTCTCTCCAACACTTGAACTGGATTGCTAGAATGTAATTTGGGGGCACTCAGATACTAAGTGTTGGTTTAGCATCCAACTCTTGGTTTCAGCTCTGCTCATGATTTCTGATTTGATTGTAGGCTCCATGTGAGACTTTTGTGCTGAGTGTGGAGCCTGTGGGATTCTCTCTGTCCCTCACTGCTCCTTCCTGCTTGCATGGCAAGCACATGCTCTCTCTCTCAAAATAAATAAACAAAAAAAAAAGAATGTAATTTTAAAACAAGTCACAATCCTGCCTACACACTTTCAGAAATTATATCTTATGGGCATTAAGTTCACTAGAAGAAAATAAAACTGAAGAAAAACCAGGAAGATGGGAACATTTTTCTGTTGATTATTTTCCAAAAAAATATGTAACCATATCATATTAATACACTTAAATGATTCTAAAATTTTTTATTTTATTTTAATGTTTATTGTACGAGACAGAGAGGCGGAGCATGAGCAGGGAGGGGCAGAGAGAACCTGGGAATCGAAACAGGCTCTGGGCTCTGAGCTGTCAGCACAGAGCCGACCGCGGGGAGTTTAAACCCCGGATGCATGAATCATGACCCAGGCGAGAAGTCGGACGTTGCAGCTCAACCTGACAGCCCCTGAGCCACCTTCCCCCAATGATTCTAAGAATATTAAAGAAAGAAATTCTGCGTTTCCTAAAAAACCATATAAAATGTCCATCTTGCAAATATATCATTAACAGAATTAGAATCCAATGCCCCCCCGGGTAACTTGAACTCCTCTTGAGGCAGTATGCTGCAGGGGAGAGGCTTCAAGTTTTATGGATAAATTCACTAATAATATCCTACAAGGAGAAGAAAAGTACACACAGCAAATATTAGATTCTAATGTTAAGATTCTCAATACCTTCCACTCTTAAATGAAAGACAGAGAAAGTGTGGGATGTAGGAGAGGAAGGTCCATTGGAGTGGTGACAGCACTGGATTCTGGCTGTGCCTTTAGCCAAGTCACCCAGTTCTCAGGGGATTCAGCTTCTCTACCTATAAACTTAAAAAAGGAGTGGATTCAACCAGGGGTTCTCAAAAGTAAGATCTCTACAGCAGTATCAGTATCATGTAGGAAGTTGTTGAAAATGTAAATTCTCCAGGCCCCCCACCCCAGCCACTGAATTAGAAGCTCCAGTCTGTTTTAATAAGCCTTTCAGATGACTCTAATGCATGCTGAAATTTGAGACTCACTAGCTGACATGATTGGTAAATATCAGTCAGCTCTAATTCTGTCTTGACCTTTATGAATATAATGGCTTCCCAATTAAAACAAGGCTTTAAAAAAATCCCTTTAGAAGTCTCACAGTAATTCTATATATTCTTAGAAAATCAGAGAACTTGATTATGAATTACAAATTTGGGATTTAATAACTAATGAACAGAAAAAAAGCCCAATAAGACATACCCCTCCACACATACACTCTTAGTCCCAAGGAGAGAGAGAAAACTAAACCCATTGTATTAAAAATGCCACAAAAAGAGGCACCTGGGTGGCTCAGTTAATTCAAACACTTAACTTCGAAAAGATCATGAACTACCATGGGTTCCCGTGGGTTAGGAGCCCCAGGGCTCTGTGCTGACAGCTCAAAACCTGGAGGCGTGTTTCAGATTCTGTGTCTCCCTCTCTCTCTGCCCCTCCCCCCACTCATGCTCTGTTTCTCTGTCTCAAATAAATAAACATAAAAAAAAAATTCAAATGCCCGGCAAGTAAAATGAATCAACACATTAAACATTGTTTCAATTCTTCCAATATATAAAGGCCACTCTCAGGAGAATCACCCTTACATCTACACTTTCTTCCAGCAATCTCCTGCACCCAATTTAATGGAACTACAGGCTTCATCTTCAGCCTGTCTATTTAGAAAAATTGAGCCTGCTCCCATCGATGATAAGCGCTTCTTCAAACAATTCCATACCTATGAATTAAGAACAGAATGATTGTAAAACAAAAAAAATCAATGCAAAATAAAATTTGGGGCTGAAATCTTTTTCCATATGGTTATCAACAATGACGTCTGACTGGTAATTTTTTGGCACTAAGAATAATCTTATGCTCACCTGATTTCATAACAAAATTTTATTTTATTTTATTCTATTTTATTTTATATAATTGATTTTTATATAATTGATTTTTTATATAATTATTTTTATTTTTAAGTAGGCTTCACGCAGCTGAGCATGGAATCCAATGCAAGGCTCCAAGTTCATGACTCTGAACCTGAGCTGAGATCAAGAGTTGGACATGTCGACTACACACAGGAGCCCTTCATATGAAATTTTAATTTCTCAACTACAGGCCTATATTGCTAGCCAACCCAAAAAAAATCAGAAGAAAGCCAATATGTTTTCTTTTTATTTAAAGTAACTCAAATATATGCAATTGCTTGGGATTTTTCTAGAATAGTATCATGCGTTTAAAGTCCAACAATATTAATTTTTACATTCCTCCTTCAAAATATCCACCTAAATTAAAAGTAGATGAAGACGGTAGTTGTTAAGCTATCAAGGTTTATAAGGGTTGTCAGAAAGAGAAGAATAAAACTAAGAAAATAGCATATACTAAGTCTAGAATAAAGTTTTGCTGTGTGATTTGGACCAAATACAGTAATTGCTGAGTCAGTTAAAAATCTACAAGACCACAAAAAGAACCAAACAAGAGGTTACAGTCTAGTAGAAATTCATCCCCTCTTACAGCTTTTGTGGGGAAAAAAAGGATGCTTTCTTTTCTCCCAAGTAAAAAAGTCTTACCAAAAATAATTGTACTTCAAACAAAACCAAAAATATTTCAAAACTTCAGTTTCTGAACATATAAAAGAAAAAGATCTTTGGGGCACCTGGGTGGCGCTTGATGGGTTAAGCGTCGTGGCAGCCGAGTCACGCGATCTCATGATCGTGAGTTCCCGCGCTCAGGCTCTGGGCTGATGGCTCCAGAGCCTGCTATTTCTGATTCTGTGTCTCTCTCTCTCTCTGCCCCTCCCGTTCATGCTCTGTCTCTCTCTGTCGCAAAAATAAATAAACGTTGAAAGAAAAAGATCTTTAAAAGCTGCTTAATCTGGGGGCACCTAGATGACTCAGTCAGTAGAGCATGCTGCAACTCACCCGATCTCTCAAAGTGTGAGTTCAAGCGTGGGGCATGGAGCCTACTTAAAATAAAAATTAAAAATAAATAGGGGCGCCTGGGTGGCGCGCCAGTGATTGGCGTCCACATGAGTCCGCGATCTCACGGTCGTGGTCCGAGGAGCCCAGTGAGCTCTGGGCTGATGGCTCCAGGAGGCCTGGAGCCTCTGTTTCGATTCTGTGTCTCCCTCTCTCTCTGCCCCTCCCGTTCTATTGCTCTGTCTCTCTGTCCCAAAAATAAATACAAAACGTTGAAAAAAAAATTTTTTTTTAAATTAAAAATAAACAAACAAATAAAACAAAGCTGCTTAATCTGGACAAGTCATTCTCAAGATGTTTTCCATATAGTATAGTAGTTAAGGAATACCTCTCCTCTAAAATCATTTCTTCAAGTTCTCTGAAGAACCTACAACCCTAAACAAAAAAAGTGTTATTTAAATACAACTCACGCTTTTACTTCTTATGTAATGTAATTTTCCATAGCAAAGAACCAATGCTGTGTAGATCTTCCTTCTAAAAAACCTATACACTTAAAAGACAATTAATTACATCACCATCTACTCGCCTTTCTCCAAGCTTTACAATTCTAGTTCCTTCAACCTTTTCTCACTCCATCTACTCTCCAGCCATCTGATTATTTTGGGTAAACATTAAGGAAGGGTGATGTAATCACAGAATAGTCCAAAGATAAAAGCTGCCTCCCAGGAAGAATTGTGTCTCACCTCGTTGCGGCACAGGGCCCAAACCACCACATATCTTCAGTTTTGTAACAGGAATTCAAACATATTTCACTAATACATTCTTTTAATGTCATCAATCTTGTAAAGGGAATTCAAATAATAGGTGGGTGATTAGATGACCCAGAGGGCTTCTACCAATCTTAATTCTATGATACTGAGACTCCCTGCAGCTTCTCTGGTTTTGCTCTATTTCTCTACAATTCTAACTCCCAATAATCCAATGGAAGCTGTTAGTGTAGGTTTATTAAAGTAATCCAAAAGCATTGCTTAATTCTCAAGAGACCTTTGGAAAAGATGGCAAAAGAACTACTCTTACATCTTTCCCCATAGGCAGGAATAACTATGGTGAAACTGCAGGAGATGATACAGTCTAACTCTTCTAGAATGTGGGAATATATTCAGAGGTACACAGTCCTTCTACAAATCATTATCTCCTTTACTGTTCATTGGCCAGGGCTATATTAAAGTTTTTTTGTTTTGTTTTTGTAATTAGTATGCACTTCCATCAAAAGAAATACAGCCTGAAATAAAGTAGCAAACACAGAAAAGCATTTGAAAAAGTATTTCAATCTAATTCAATTCTTTTTTTCTTTTTCTGGGCTCCAGTGATACTCTCTAGACATGCTCCTTGGTCAAGCCAAGAGGAATACTAAGATGTGAAACACAGTCCTTTTTTTGTTATAAAATCATTCCTGGATATAAGAATACAGGGCACCTGAATGGCTCAGTTGATCAAGCATCTGACTTTGGCTTAGGTCATGATCTTGCTGTTCCTGAGTTCGAGCCCTGCATCAGGCTCTGTACTGACAGCTCAGGGCCTGGAGCCTGTTTCAGATTCTGTGTCTCACTCTCTCTGCCCTTCCCATGCTCACGCTCTGTCTCTCAAAAATAAACATTAAAAAAAATTTTTTTTAATACAAATGATAGCTAGATAAAAAACAGATTAAATAAAGTGGACTCTGATAGACTCATTAGATAAGAACCAAGAGATCAGGTTAGATGAGTGAAACAGACTGAATAATAGCCACCCAAAAGTATCAGGTCCTAGTCTCTAGAACGTTACCTTACAAAGAAAAGGGGTCTTCGCAGATGTGACTGATTCAAGGAATCTTAAAATTAATTAATTAAGAAATTTAACATGGGGAGATAACCTGGATTTGGTGGGGCCTAAAACCAATCACAACTGTCCTTATAAGAGGCAGAGGGAGATTTGATATACACAGAGGAGGTGATGATGGGAGGTAGAGACTGGAATCACACGGCTACAAGCCAGAAGCCATCAGAAGCTGGGAAGGGCAAGGAACAGATACTCTCCTAAACTGGAATTGTTGTTGGAAGCATAGCTCTAATGATACCTTGATTTCAGCCCAGTGATAATGATTTCAGACTTCTGGCCTCCAGCACTCTGAAAGAATGCATTTCTGCTGCTTAAAACACCAAGTTTGTGGAAATCCGTTAGAGCATCCTCCAGAAATAGGTTATATTATATACACCATATTCAACAGATACAAGAATATTTAAAAATTACGTTGCTTCCCTTAGAACAATTCATCATTATTTAGTTTCACATTAAATGTAAGCATAACATCTTAAAACATTATTATGTTATTCCTACCCATCAAGTATAAGTTCTCAGGAGTGGTCACAGGAATATTAACAAGTTTAACATCATCTTCATCTGCTTTGTCCCAGGAGTTAGAATTGCCACAAGCACAGCTATGACAAGAATTGACGCTCTGGACCTAAAATTAAAATCGACAGCAGTGACTTCAAAATCTCTTTTGTGACAGTATTTTGCCATCTTTTATATTTACAAATTATTTATATAAATCCTATTCCAGGTAAACCAACCCATGTAATCCCCACCTGAACAAATAAATCTGATTATATTCAAAGTTAGGAGTTATATGACCCTAAGTATTTTAAGCCTTTGTTTGCTCAAAAATACACGAATAGAAGAATATTTTCAACAAAAATCAGTTATTTCCATTAGAAATCAAGCAGCTACTTTTACAGTTTACTGTTTAATTAAATATTTGCTTATAAATTTTATCCACACCTACTCTGGTTTGAGGTAACTAGCTTATTTCCGCTTTAAAAATTATTAACAGTGCTGATTATGCTAAACAATAACTAAAATTGAAAAGCCTCTATCATCTTCCCTTCCTTAGCAAGGTGCACTGAGCCAATCATTTCAGTCATCTTTATGTAGATGACTCCCAAGTCTCTGCCTCCAATTCTGTCCTTTTTCTTTTTTTTATTTTTATTTTGAGAGAGAGAGAGAGAGAGAGAGAGAGAGAGAGAGAATGCAAGAGAAAGCAAGGGAGAGGAGTAGAAGGGAAGAGACAAAGAAACTCAAGTCGTATGCTCAATGACTGAGCCACCACCCCTCCATTCCTGTTGAGTTTTTTTTTTTATGTTTATTTATTTTTGAGAGAGAGAGAGAGAGAAAGTGGGAGTGGGGAAGGGGCAGAGAGAGAGAGAGACCAGAGAATCCAAAGCAGACTCCACGCTGCCAGCACAAGCTTGATGTGGGACTCAAACCTGCAAACCGTGAGTTCATGACCTGAGTTGAAGTCTGATGCTCAACCAACTGAGTGACCCAGGTGCCCCCAAGTTCTGTCCATTTTAAGGGTGCCTGAGTGGCTCAGTCGGTTAAGTGTGACTTCAGCTCAGGTCATGATCTCGTGGTTTCCAAGTTTGAGCCCTGCGTCGGGCTCTGTGCTGCCAGCTCAGAGCCTTGAGCCTGCTTCACATTCTGTCTCTGTCTCCCAAAAATAAATAAATGCTAACTTTTTTTTTTAAGAAGTCTAAGCCTGGGGTGCCTGGCTGGTTCAGTCGGTAGAGCAAGGGACTCTCAATCTCAGGGTCGTGAGTTCAAGCCTCAAGTTGGACATGGAGCCTACTTAAAAATATATAGGGGCACCTGGGTGGCTCAGTCCATTAAGCATCTGACTCTTGATTTGCCTCAGGTCGTGATCTCATGCTCCATCTCACGCTTGAGATTCTCCCTCTGTCTCTTTGCCCCTCCTTTGCTTGAGCATGTGCACACACACACTTTCTCTCAAAAATAAAAATAAATAAACATCTTTTAAAAATTTGACATATTTAAGAATGGGGCAGCTAGATATTCCAACAAAACAGAGAAGCCAAGTACAGAATATGGTGTTTAATAAACTATTTAAAATAATGACAATACATGATGGTACAGACATACACTCCCAGAGATATATATGTAAGAAATTACCGATGTTGTTTGTCTCTAAGGACGGGAACCGAGAGGATCGGTAGCATATTTATCACTGTACATTTTTTTGCCTCTTCTTTATTTAGTAGCAAGTATATATCCTACCTATTTAACAAAATTTTTAAACCATAATAAGTCAAAAAAAATACTAACTTTATTCCTCACTTGTCAATCAATACTATATTAATGCTTCAAACAACAAGGTGAGGAACTCCACACTTGGCTTCAGCAAGCCACATACTTTTACCTACGCAAGCTCATCATCTTGTGACCTAGTACAAAGTCTGGCTGTATCTTCCAGCTTTTTTGCAGAACATCTAGTTTTTTTGTTTAGATTTTTTGTGTTTTTTTTAAATTACTATTTTAGACAGAGAGAGAG